CTAGACCAAAGTCAGCCAGTGAGCCTTCTGGCTCACTAGCACCAGGCTCACCAGAACCTGGACCTCCCTGGTCCTCAGTCCAAAGCTCAAAGCACCATGCCACATTGGTTCTCAACTGGCTCTTACATGATTGTGGTCTGGGCGATGTAGCCCAACACATCTAGAAAACACCAACACAGGTTAGGATGTTTTGATCAGCTGTATGCTCTTTCTTCTCTTTCCCTTCTCTTTAAGGAAGCTAGCTTGCTTCTTCCTATCTGGACCTGTGGTTAGGCATTTGTGACTTTCTCTTGCCTAAACCCCAGCACATTCTTTCCTCAAACTGTTTGGTGGTCTTCACAGTGATTAGGTTCAGATAAGACACGACCCACCCTTAAGCACTGAGTGTGGGTCACTGTTGAACTGTAGGTGGTTGCTGGAGGGTGAGTTATCATGTTGTCAGAATCCAGCCACCAACAGTCCATGAAGAGAACCCATGTTTTGTTGTTGGGTTGTGAACTGTGAGATGGCTAGGTTCAGACAACAGCAACAACCCATATTTCAGCAACAACCCACACTTACCCAATAGTCAACTCCTGAGTGTGTTGTCCAAACCCTATCAAAGGTTGCCTAGTTCTATGAAGGCATTGCTCTTCTGCAAAAAGCGGGAAGTGGAATGAAAACACAGTGCTGTGCACCTCATGGACCAGAGCACTGTGGCACAATCTAAATCATAACTCGATCAAGTGAGGCCCCATAGGCAAGAGCTCACAATGTTTTTTCTCAGGAGGCAGTCCCATGCTGCAGCTCTCCCGCAACTGCCTCCTTAGTAGCTTCATTTCTTCTGAAATAGCTAATTAGTCGTCTCCTCTTAATAACATGCTCATGACATTTTTGAATTGACCTGCATTAGCACCTGCTCTTTGTGAGACAGAGAAGCTTCCATTGATGATTTTCTCTTTGCTGCCAGAGTAATTAGACTGTTCTGGTTTGCTTGTTTGTTTGGTTTGTTTGTTCATTTGTTCAAATTATGACTACAATGTCACAATTGGGTGTCTACAATTTTTCTGTAATGGAGCAAATAACAGCTTTGTGGGCAGGGGGGAGGGTCACACTGGGAAAGCAGACCAGGGAAAAGTTAATCCCTTTCTCTTGGCTAGAGTGACTGTGCAGTTTTCACACAGGACAGTCTTCCATTTGGACCTTTGGTCTGGTCCAGCAGGGCGTCTCTTATATCCTTATGCTAACACAACTCTATGATTTCTGACTGAACTGTCCAGAAGCCAAGGGGATGATTCTGTGCCTGGAAGCACCAGTACGAACCTAACGGAGATGGCACTGCCTCCGAATGGGGCCAAGGTGCACACCTGGGGTTGTGCTTGAAGGTGCAAATGGCTAGGCTCATTTATAGGAACTCCTTCCTCCTAGACAAGATCACTAACAAAATGCCAGGGATGTTGACATTTAGGACTTGGTTCATCTTGTCCTTTAGAACTCAGAATGATCAAGCAAGCAAAGAATGGGGAAAATACAGAAGGAGGGAACATTGGTTTTGTGGCTGCTGGTGTTACAAGAGGCCCTGGTTCTGAGAAAGCCATGTCCTTCCTGCTGGAGAAGGGGCTAGAGGGTCCCAGCATGATGCCTTTGTTGTTGCTGGGATGAACAAGGGTTAAGTGAGGGCTCCATGAAAAGGCTGGGCAGGATTTGAGGAAACACTCGCTTAAGTTCCTGCTCACTCAGTTGCAGCAAGCTATTATTATGCTGTTTCATATAAATCTTATTTAATTGTTTCTACAGTGCACTAAATTTTAAAGGCACCATACCTCTACATTTCAGTTTCATTTCTTGGAAATGTTGGGCTGTAGGTTTCTCAGCTAGTGCGCAGCTATGCTTACCATTCATGCTGGCCCTGGACTTAATGCCAGGTAGGCATGTATGGAATTACGGGGTTTATATATTTCCCTACTTAAAAATATGCCCTACGATAACCAATCAAAATGGGGTATTAAAATGAGATTTCAAAATCTACATAATAATTTCTTGTTAAAAATGGTAATATCATTATTAAAGAAATGAAGACAGAAGTTAGAAACGGAATAACAAAAATGCCAGATGCTAATACTTTAACATTAAAGCTGTACGGAGACCACCACTGAGGGAACTGGATCTTTTCAGCCTGGAAAAGATGGGGATCTTTTGGTGACTTCTAGGCATGTTAGGAGATGTCATGTAGAAGAGGGCTGTGACCTGTTCTTCCCTGCAGAGGAGGGCAGGGAACATTCCAATGGGGCAAAGCTCAAGGAACCACACTTGGCTGGGTGTCAGGAAGTACTTCCTGACAGGTAGGACCCCTAGGATATGGAATGGGCTTCCAAGGGAGGTGGGTGAGGGTGTTCAAGGAAAGATTGGACAACCACATGTTGGGGATTACATGAGTAGAGCTGGCTGGGACCAGAGGTCAGACTAGATGATCTGAGAGGTCCCTTCTGACTCACTTTGTTTCTGGGTTTCTAAAGGATGAAGGGACCAAAAGGCCAAGCATTCAGCACTGCCTCCAATGGTCTCACATGTAGTAGCTCTACTCCAGCCTTCCAGAGTGAAAAAGTTTGAAAGTGGATTCCCCAGGCATTTGGCTGAACATGGTTACCATTCTCATTGCCACTGGAAACATTGAATTACGACAGGTCCTGTGAGGAGGAACACCTTCCATGAAGAAACTTCACCAAGTCATGTGACCATGACAAGGGAGTCTTCACAACCTCTCCTATATCCATACTACCCCTCCCATCCCAAAGACCTGTGAGTTGGACCAAAGCCTAACTTGATATTATGGAGGCCATGAAATCCCAAGCTGGCCCAGTTACCATGGTCATGGTATGAATGGTGAAGTTATCCAGGACAATTCTTCTGGGTATTGCAACACCACACTCATTATGAATGAAAGATTTCCAACTCAGCAATTTTACACTGGTAGATTAGATTAGGAAAACAGAGTATGTGGGAGAAATGTTGTAAAGGAAACTCATTGGAATGATTTTCCTGTTATTGTCTGACCAAAAAGAACTGTTAAACAGCAATATGTAACTAAAGGTCGCTGAGAGGATGAAAACACCAGGCTGGGTGCAAGGCTGTATGAAGCAGAATGCTGCAGACCTGCCCGTCCAGTGCTTTGACTTCTGATAAAGAACTGCTTTTGTTTTCACAAGGGTTTTATGATGGATATTCTTATTTCATTGGTTTATGGGGCACAGGTAGGCACTATCCACAGTTTCCTCAGAGAATAGATGAAAGCATATTGACTAGTCATGAAATGCCATGAATGTTAATTCCATATCTGGATGTTCAATAGCAGGATAGGTTACCTCTATCTATATTGTCACTTTTGAAGATTGTGGAATTGCCTGGAGCAGTGGAATAGGTGAAAACAGCAGCTCTGAGGAAAGCTGGCCTACATGCCTTTCCAGACAGCCTGTCCCTCACAAGACGTTGGAAAGAGGCATCTTGTGTTGGGCAAAGGAGAGATGAAATGCATCCTTGCTCCAGGTAACAAGCCTGTGCAGACTACAGTGCTGCTAACTCAGGGGGTGCCATCAAACAGGATGACAATGGTGCACATCAAATCTGGCGTCTCCTTTGGCTAAAGCCATTGAATTTGAAGAGAAGGAAGCATAAAAATAGTCTCCCCATATTTTCTTGTACGCAGTAGCATCTAATCATCTTTTGTGAGATTTCTGGTGTAGCTCAGTTTTACCCTCTCATCACGGACCAAACATTAGGCTTGGCAGGTATTATTATGCCTCAGGTCGATACCATATAATCATATAAGCTGCTTGCTGAAATGGAAAATAGGTCTTTCAAATAAAGGCCAGATGAAACTGCAAGAATGGGAAGCCAGTCTGTACACAGAAAATCCGCTGGGATGATTTTGTACTGTTGCTGAAGGTCCACAGAGCAGCTAAAAGGTGAAAACCTAAGTAGGAGTTGTAGAGTGTAGCACTGGCTCAAGAATACTTTGCATTATGAATTAATTATCAAGGATGGAAAAGGCTGAGCATAATCAGAAGGGTTTAACAAAGTTGGTCCCACTGAACAATTCACTGAAATTAACTCTTTTGGCAAGTTTTGATATTATGAAGGATTAAACCATCAGTGGACTCCAGATTATATGCAAAACCCTAAGGCCTCTGCTAATGGATGCACTAACCACATATTTGTTATGAGAGCCGCCATTTTATTTCAATGACAAGCCTAGAATCTGCCCATCTTTCTCCACTTTTTCCCCTTTTTGCTGCTCCCCATATACTTGATGTTTTTATTTAGAAATCTGCCACAATCTCAGGATTGTTTTCTGCATTATTCAGAGTAGATGCAGATTCCACCCATCAGCCTTGATGTGAAACTGGGACATTTTCTTCCTCCAGTGTGTGTTGCTTTACACTGAATCTCATTTGACATTTTATTAGAGATACAGAGAAATTATTTCGGCACTCCTCATCTCCTTGGGGTTTTGCCCTAGCTACCTCATTGCTTGCCCGCGGCGCTAGATAACATACGACTAAATACTGCCAATACAGATGTTTGGGAAACATTTCCATCCCTCCAGTATAAAAATGAAACTATTTAAACCTACTTTTATTTACTACATGAGAATTAGCCTGTGTCTGCCAACCTTATATAGGAATCTTTACTAAAGAACTTTTAAGCAACTCCCACTAAAATAATTCAGAATTATTTGAGAATCTTGTGTTCAAATCTGTCTTTTACACTTAATTTATACCTGTGCAGCAATTCCTTTCATTGCGGGTTGTGGGAAGGGAGGAAAAGAATCCCTGAAAGCTGTTCAGAAGCGTGCTCAATCGCGATTTATGGTTAGGGCAGGAGAGTTGTCAGGTGCTTGCATGAATCACATTTGCCCAGAGAGGCCCTTAGCCAACAGCACCTTTGTAAACCACCCATTCCTCCAGTAGGAAGTGATATCCCAGCCACCAAAATCCAAAAGCACCAGATGCCCCACGACCTACCTGGTATCCTATTGAGTGTCACCCAGAAATGTTCGTCGGGGCTGTAGGTGTCCTTGGACCATTCCAGTAGATCTCGGGCCCGTTTGTCTCCAAAGAGAAACTCCACAAAGGGCCTTGTGAGGGCAACATAGGCAGAGCCAAAGTAGATGGTCAGATTGTGGGGCGCAGGGGATTTGGGGGTGGAGGTCCTTTTCATGTACGAACCCTGCTTGCTCATGTACTCCTTGTACACGTATTTGGTCCTGGCAGTGATGTGCGGAGGCGGGAGCACGCCGGGGGTGATGTTCTTCCCCTTAAACCCCTTCAGGTGCCGGACGATCTCTCTGTTGGTTTTCAGGGGGAAGTCTTGCCCGCACATGTTGAGGGCGTACTTCCACTCGACCTCGTGCGCCAGCAGGTCCTTCAGGCAGTTCAGGTCGGCCTGAAGGCGGGAGACGCCGGCGTAAATGACCGGCTCGGCTCTCGACACGAGGAAGGCGTTGGGGAAGCACTGCAGCAGCTTCTCCACGTCCTGCTTGTAGCTGGCGGGCGCCTTCTCGTCCACGTGGACGCAGAACACGTTCTGGGGCGCGTAGATGGCCCGGAAGACTCTCTCGAAGGTCCCGAACTCTTTGTGGAGGGTGATCACGTAGGCCAAGGGGAAGGCGGCCTCCTCGGCGGACAGCGGGCCGGTCAGGTAGTGGCTGCCCGCCGCGTAATCCGGGCAAGCGGGAGACGCGGCGAGGGACGTCCGGAGGGGGCTCCCCCAGACGAAGGCTTTCTCGCCGCCGGCCACAGCATCGCAGGCGCGGCGCAGGTGAGCGCTCTCCCGGCGCTGCTGGCGCGGCTGCTGCTGCTGCCGCCGGGACGCGCGCTCCGCCGAGGGCGCCTGGCCGTGGCGCAGGACCAGCACGGCGGCGAGGCCGCTCAGCAGGAGCATCGCGGAGACGCAGAGGGGCTTCCGCGGCAGCAGCATCGCTGCGGGGGCGCTGAGGCGCAGGGCAGCCAATGCGCCTCCCGGCCGGACTCACCGAGCGTCGCCCGTGGGAGGCGCGCCCGCTGCCGCCCTCGGGGCGGCGGCGCGCTCCCCCAGCCGCTGCCTGCTCCGCTGCGCCCGCCTGGCCGCCTGGCCGCTGCCCCCAGCAGCTCCGGGAGACCGCGGGCGCCTAGCGAGCATGCCGCTTCTTCCCTCTCGTCAGCCCCGAGCCGAGCCGAGCCGAGCGCGCCGTCGGCCAAGGAGCGGTGCGCTCCGGTCCGGCCTTTCCTTCTCTCCGCCCGCCACAACTCGGTCCTCCCCGCGCTCCGGCGTCCCCCAGAGTCCAGAGCCGCAGCACCGCCCCCCGGAGGGGGAGCAACTGATTTGCATAGAGCACTGGCTTCCGATTGGCTGGGGTCGCCGCCGACTGCCCCCCCTCCAGCTGTGCGCGCGGGGTGGGCAACTGCCGGCCGCTCCTAAGCGAGAGCGGAGCGCTCAGCCGCGCCAGCGCCGCGGGGGACACGGATGCGCGCAGGGCTGCTGCGGGGATTGTCAGCCCTTGCGCTCTGCGCCTGAGGGAGACGCGCCGCGCACGCCTGCGTTTCCACCCGCAGCCGTTCGCTGCAGCAGACGACGGCCTGGCGCCGCAAATCAAGCCAGCGATCCAAACGTTGGCACTCTAGACTCAATTAGCATCACGAGGGAAGCAATGGCACTGGGTTCTGATTTACTTTATCATAATGCTAAATACATTTAAATGGGAATAAGCACCACCATCCTGCAGTGGGAAAGAATGATTTTTTTTTTTAAGGAAAGCAATAATGCCAACATTGGTAAGTGTCTGCGCCTGGAGTGGTGATTTTTCATTGTTTATTTTTTTAAAAAAAGAAAGCTCGCTGCAGTGCACAGGATGTGCCCTGAAGGGTCCCAGCATGCGTACAACAGCCCAAGTGCTGCCATAGGTTGGACAGCGTGTTCGCGGCTGCAGCGCTATTAACATTAAAAACAGTATTACCATTGGGTCATTTTTCATGACTCCACAGGCCACTGTGGGTTAACTTGCTCCCAAGAAGTTGCCGTGTTCATGGCCACTCATTAATATGCAAATCCCAACCCGTGGTTGCTGCATCTTGTCATGTTATCAGAACTTGGAGAGCAGGGCTTATTTGAGGGTTGAATAACTCTTGCGTAACCCCCAGACAGACTGCGGGTCATGCAAGGTTCTGTTTAACCCAAATAAGTATAGCAAATGCCAAGTAACCCACCACCAACCAGGCTCAGACAATGCAACAAGCCATGGCAACCCCTGGACAAATATGGCCTGCATATTTATAATTTTGGATTGCACATGCTATGGAGGTTGATAGGCTGCTGTGTCATCATCATTAGATAAGCCCAGAGCATTCCCTGCCTGAGACAAAGAACAAGGTGGGTGCTCCCTTCTCTCTGTCATTCCATGCACCATCCCAAACGAGGCAGGCAGCTGAATCTTATTTCAATTCTGGCAAAAAGACAACATCTCCACCGCATCGCAGGGTAAGCTAATTGACACATACTGCCTCTTGCCACCTTCTTCTCATTATTATTATTATATTTCTAGATGGCCCAATAGCCAAAGCTCTCCGGGAGGTTTACAGCAGCAGATACAACACAACACAACTTTAAGTACAAAATAAAAATACAATTACAAAAAATACAATACAGAATTTAAAAGCCAAATTTCAATCAATTTTTAAAAGCTACAGTAGTTTACAAAATTTAATTCACAGGACTTGTTAAGCTGTCAACACAATGCCCCAGTATAAAATTCAAGAAACACCCTGTGTTAAGAGAGCAGTCTGAAACCTGATGCCTAAAACTTTTAGGCTAAAAGATATTAAAGTTGGTGACAGGTGGGCCTTGATGGGGAGCTTATGTCATAATTGGGGGGGGGGGGGCTGCCACTGAGAAGGCCCTTCTCCTTATTGCCATCAACTGAGCCTCCCCCAGAGGTGGCAGTCAGAGAAAGGCCCCAGTTCTTGTGGCTGGGAGAGGCGTTCTGTCAGGTATCTGGAGCCTAAGCAACATAGAGCTTATAGGCTAAAACCATCATCTTGCATTGGGCTCAGAAGCTTTTAGGCAGCCAAGGAAAGCAAGCCAAAACCGGTGTTTTGCGTTTGGGCCTTTTGGTCCCTGTTAATCTGGCTGTCATGTTTTGGGCAAGCCACAGCTTCTGAACAGTTTTCAAGTGGAACCCCATGTATAGTGCACTGCAGCAATCTAGTTTAAGAGGACATAGATTGCGTTAAACAGGCCATCCCTGTCCAGATAGGAGCATAGCTGGGTAACCAAACAAAGCTGGTAGAAGGCACTCCTTGCATACTTCCAAGGCCACTTGGACCTCAAATGACAATGACTCAAGGAGCAGCATTCCCTCCACCCCAAGCTATGAACATGCTCCTTCAGGATGAGTGCAACCCTATCTAGAATCAGTTGATTATCCTCCATCTGGCCTGAGGAGCCACGCACCAGCTGCATCTGTCTTGTCTGGACTGAACTTCAGTTTGTTTTCCCTCATTCTATTGTGGCAGCACTGGTTCAGCATATCCACAGCCTCAACTGCTGAAGATGTAAAGGAAAAATAGAGCTGTGTGTCATCAGCATATTGATGAATCCACACTCCAAAACTCTGGATGAATCTACTCAGTGGTTTCATGTAGACATTAAATAGCATGGGGCAAGACTGCCCAGAGAAACTCCATATGAGAGAGTCCAAGGGGCCAAGCAATATCCTTCAAGCATCACCTTCTGGGGCCAGCCATTAATGTAGGAGTGGAACAACTGCAGTGCAGTTCCCCTCGTGCCCACCTCAGTTAGCTGCCCCAGAAGGACACCATGGATGAAGGGACTGAAAGACCCACAAGCACCAACAGGGTCATAATGCCCCATCACTTTCCTGGCACAGGTCATCATATGGGTGATCAAGGCTGTTTCCATGCCATGCCAGAACCCAGCCAGACCCCCAACTGAAATGGATACAGAAAATCAGTCTCATCCAAGAGTGTCTGGAGCTGGCTGGCCACCATCTGCTCAAAAGCCTTGCCCAGGAATGGGATATTTGGCACTGGCCTAAAATTATTGAGATCTTCTGGTTCTGGGGAAGGTTTCTTCAGGTGTGGCCTCACTACCACCTGTTTTAGGTGGTATGGGACCACTCACTCTTCTAAGCAGGTATTAATTACCTCTTGGGGGTCCAACTGGCAGTTCTCTGCCTGCTAGATTTTATTAGCTAAGCGGAACAAGGATCCACTATGGGCAGGATTGCACAAACCTGTTGAAGCACCTTGTCAACATCCACAAACAGTACTAAATGACCAGCCTGTGCATTGGATATCTCACCTGGTCCCACTGCGATTACACTAGAATCTAAGTCCTGTCAGAGGCAAGAGCAAATATATTACAGATTACCTTTTAACAGACCGTGTTTATAGGCTATCCATTTCTGCACAGGAGAAATGCGCTATTCTAAATCTGAACTGGTAGCTATCTGAGCATGACAATAGGATGGATCCAAGTCCCCAACCTTCAGATCCCCATTCCTCTGCTGAGAAAACCAAATCCGCAGTGTGCCCTGTTTCCTGTGTTGCACCAATGACATATTGGACAGTCCTGTGATTGTCACACTGTCCATGAAACCCTGAGCCGCCCCAGGTAAGGGGCCCTTGGCATGGATGCTAACATTCCCAGGGCCAGCTGCTTGGGGAGGCTCAGCACTGCAACCAAGACACCCTCTGTGAAGTCAGGTTGCAAGACAGCTGGGTTGCAGGATGGACAATACAGTGACATCACAAGAGGCAACGCTCCAGACTAGGAGTTGGATGGACAGGGAGCCTGGAGAGAGAATTCCTATAGGCCGCTGCAGCCCCCCTTCCCTGGCTCTCCAGTCCTTCTTATATAGCAAGTACCCAAGTGGTCAGGGCTGGGACAGGCTAACCCCTTCTGTTTACTCACCCAAGTCGCCCTTATACATGCCCAATTGGCCTCATTCACTATTAAGCGATGGAAGAGGGAAGTCTTCTATTGCACTGATTGGGCATGAAATCATTTTAAAAGCAGCATCCAGAGTCCTCGGGAAAGGAAGGTTGACAAGAGCATTTCAAACCCTGTGGTTGTGAGGAGAGTTGGGACATGGCACGGTCATTAACTGCCTGGGTCACGTTTCCCTGACCTGTCTGGCTCTCTCTTGAAAGCATAGCACTTTCTCTACCCTGACCGACTTACTCTCTACACTAGCTGACCCTCCATCAGGACCCAAAATTTGGTCCTCTATCTTCCCTCCACTGCACATACACAGGACCTGTGGGAGGAGGAAGCCCCCAGCCCAAGTCACAGAACTGATATGACATAAGAGGGGCAACCTTTGCTCTTGACTTCCCCCAAACGGGTGGCTCTTTGGGGGCAGTGTCCTCACAACCACAAGATGTCCCCCTTTGAGGGGAGAGAAAGGCTGACAGGATGAGAAGCGGGTTGATAGGAGAAGCTAAGGTAGGTGGGGAAAGGGCTGGAAAGATGATGGAGCCGGCTTTCTCACCCTCCTGAGAGAATCCAGGTCTGTTTGCTGAAGTGGCAGGTTTCAGGACATTTTCTCTCAGTGTGTGACTTGGTCTGAGAGGCTCCAGTGCAGTTTGGAAAGGGTTCCCAGCCAGGTACCCTGATCCAAGGAGTGTCTTGTTTCCTAGGTGCTGAAGACGTCACCTGGCAAGGCAAGACTGGACAGGAGGTGAGGGCAGGTGCTGGCAGGAGTCAAAGCATGGCAAAGCTGGAAGCAGGATCAGGAACAGAACGCATTCACCACAAAAGGTGTGGGTGTCTGCCTGCACCAGCCCAATCCTTCCCATCACCCTGTGTGTCCATACTATTCTGTTCTTCACTCCCTTGCCCCCCTCATCCAAACCCCTGGCAGACAACATCCTACTTTAAATATATTTCTATAGCAGATGCTGTTTTCCCTCTTGTTCTCT